GGAGCCTGATTTTCATCGGGAATGCCTCGGTGTCGCCAACCGTAGTCCTGACGTAAGTAGTAGATCTACAGTACATATCACGAATCGCCCGGATATAAGCAGTTAGGATCCGTCTCATTTCCAAGGTCTTCCAGATCGTATCGCGGGGAACGCTATCATATGCCTTCTCAAGGTCAATGAACGCCATGTGGAGATCTCTATTTTTTCCCTATATTTCTCCATAAGCCGTTGAAGTAGATGAATTGCCTCCGTAGTAGACTTGCCTGGCATAAAGCCAAATTGGTTTTCCGAAACCCTAGTAACATGTCTCAACCTAGCCTCTATCACCCTTTCCCATAGCTTCATGGTATGGATGAGTATTTTAATACCTCTGTAGTTGCCACAACATTGGGGATCTCCTTTATTCTTATAGATTGGTATCACCGTAGACTCTCTCCACTCCTCTGGCATCTTGGCAGTCTTTAAAATAATATTAAAGATGTTGGTTAACCAATTAACTCCCACTTCTCATAGGGCCAACCACACAGTGATAGGAATTTGATATGGACCTACAACTTTGTCTCTCCCCATCTTTTTAAGAGCCATTTTGACTTCCTCAAACCCAATCCTACTTGTAGGATAGTCATTGGCCGCTGAATGATGGTCGACTGACCCATTGACGGTACTATCTCTACAGGGATAGGCACCGTCATTAAATAAGCCAAAGAAGTAACTACCCCAAACCCTCTTAATATCATGATCTTTCACTAAAAGAACGCCATTGTTGTCCTTAATAAACCTAATGCTACCTAGATCATTTTTCCTATTTTCCCTGGATTTTGCAAGCCTGAAGATGTCGTTTTGTCCTTCCTTGGTGTCTAGTCTCTTGTACATTTCCTCGTATGCCTTATCCTTTGCTTTAGCCACTGTTTTCTTTTCCTCCTCGTAACTTTGTTTAACTATCGATCTTTCTTCATCGTCATTGCATTGTAGAAACTCTTTGAAGCAAGTTTGCTTTGTCTTCACCTTAGTTTGGACTTCGTCGTTCCACCACCACGATTCTTTATGTTCCTTAACCTTCCCCGTCGATAACCCAAGGGTGTTTTTGCCCACCTCTCTGATGGAATTTACCATATTTTCCCATAATATATCTGCATTATTTGAGTTTGTAGTTCCAAAACCTATACTAGAGAACACCTTACTCCTAAAGTCATCAACTGTCGCTCCATGTAAGTTCTTCCAAATGATCCTAGGTTTACCAAGTTTAGCCCTCTTATGAGTGCTCCGCCCGTGGCGTACGCGAAACACCAAAACTAACAATATGTGTTGTGATGTGCATGCCTCTTCAGGAAACACCTTACAGTCAATGCAAGCCCATCGATCCCGATTTCGAACCAGGATGTAGTCGATTTGGGTACAATGTCCCCCACTATAGAACATAATCAAGTTCACATCTCTCTTGTTAAAGAAGGAGTTAGTGACCACCAAATCGTGTGCAGTAGCAAATTCAAGCAACGTACACCCCTCCTCGTTCCTACTACCAAAATCGAAACCCCCATGAACACCGTCATACCCGTCGGTTGCACTACCTATTTGGCCATTGAAGTCTCCCCCTATGAAAACTCTTTGGTCCTCCGGAATGCTCCTAAGTACATCATCTAACTGATCCCAGAACCTACGTTTCTCCCCCTCCCCTAGGCTAACGTGTGGGGTAAACACTGAAAAGACATTCACCACTTCCGCTTCTATAATAACCTTAATCATCAAGATCCTATCCCGGTATCTACAAACTTCAACTACATTTTCCTTGAGCCTAGAGGATACCAAGATACCCACCCCATTTCTAGCGTTATCTACGCCTGAATACCACAACTTGTTCCCATTACACTCTCTGGCACGAGCCCCTTTCCACTTAGTCTACTAAATACATGCAAAATCTATTTTCCTATTACTAAGTACGTCGGTCAGCTCCAGTAGCCTAGCATTTAACGTGCCTACATTCAACGAACAAACTCTAAGTCTAGTCTCCTTAACACCTCTCTGTCGAGCCCTCTCCCTATACGCCCTATGGGATCTAAAAGAAGGACATTACCTCAAGTAATCATCTATAGCCGAAGCTATGAGGAACTATGAAAAAAGAATCCAAAGAAGACAGAAGATGCACCAATAAAACGCTAGAGAATTGGGGTACTAAGAAGCCTAATTGGTTACTTAATATAATTTTAAGACAAATTAACACTATCTTACTTATCTTTAGGCCAACAACTAAAAATCAAGTGGTAAAACCACAACAAATTTTATAAATCTTTATAACAGTAGATCCTACTCAAAGCAAAACTACTTTTCAAGTAAATTACAAATTAACTCAAGCTGATATTTAGGTAGACAAATTAACAATCAGAAATAAAAAGGGCCGGATCCAATGCTACATCTAACTCGAACCTAAACTGAAACATATATCAACACAAAGAAGATAAGGAAATCGAATCAATTCACGGATATGCAGTTACAACACTGGTATGACAAAAGAAACATGAGATCTCTAGCTCTGGAGCTTCACGAGTTCATATAGTTGAGCTTTCAGCAAAAATTTACAAATCAAAGTATCTTAAAATTTCCTTGAAAGCATCGAATTCTTCTAATAGAAATTAAAAAATATGAAAGCATTCGAAAAGCGACAGAAATTAGAATTAAGAAAAGAAAAACAGATCTTAGAGAAAAAAGCTTCAGGGAGGAATGAAATCTTTACTTGAAGATAAAGTGGGAAGGAAACAGGAAGCTTCCCTTACTAGCAAACACCTAGAAGCTAAAATTAGTAGATCTTAATCAAAATTTTCAATTTTTTTGTATTTAAGCTAAATTTTCAATTTTTGTATCCTTTTAGCTGTGTGTTTGACATTGGGCTGGAATAAAGAAATGGTGTTTTCCAGCTTTTGTTTGATATTGTTGTCAAATGTCTTCTTCATGGTGGTGGAGATTATGATAACATCACCTCGCACATAAGGATGCCTTTGTTAAAAATTAGATGGTTTCTATGATGAAATTCATTCACAGCCTCGTAGGAAGTAGTATTCCTTATGATAAAGAAGCGCACTGACTTTACAGTATCACGAGCCTTTTGAGCCATGTCCTATTCTGACTAGTTTCAAGGTTCCCTTTGTCTTTCACTGGCTTGAGCAAGTTATTTAGTTATATGATTCATCCAAGTTGATTTTATGTCCATGTATATATATTAGGGATTCCAGTTTAAGTTGCAAATGCTGTTTCGATGAGCTTTTTTTTACGTTTATCTTTGGAACAATCTTAAACAAACAAATGGTACAAAAGTTCAACCTTCATAGTATTGAGGTTCACTTTTCATATATGTTGTTTTGCAGCTTGTTTTTCAAGCAGGAAATGGAGCTATCTTTGATAGGACTTCAGAATGCTGGAAAAACCTCGTTAGTAAATGTTGTCGCAGTAAGTAAATTAAAATCAGTTGTAAATGCGGTCGCAACATATGCAGGGTCCATTACTAGCTATCTAAAAACATGTTTCTTTATCTTATTCTCTGAATTGATTTTAAGTTGATTGCTTGTCCTTTTTCCCCAGACTGGTGGGTATAGGGAAGACATGATCCCTACAGTGAGTCATATAATCTAAGTGGATTTCTGTTAATTTTGTGAACTGCAATGCTATTACATTCCAATGCTTTTATAGTCCTTTATTCATCCGAATGGCTTCTTTTCAGGTTGGATTCAACATGAGGAAAGTGACAAAAGGAAATGTTACCATAAAGTTATGGGATCTTGGAGGCCAACCTAGGTTTCGTAGCATGTGGGAACGATACTGCCGTGCAGTTTCTGCAATTGTGTAAGAAGCGACTACTTCATTTTCATAGGCTCGTCCTATGCAATAACTTTCTTTTATTTCCATTGACAATTTCGGGCCATATCTGCATTAGTAGTGAGCATTTCAATGCTATCTTGATAATTTTATCCAAAACGACCAGTCCTTCATGTCTGTTTAGGGCGATGTCTTTGAAAACCGTAGCTAACGAACTGAAGGCATCTATTCTACTTGGTATTAGAAAGGTTTATACTTGATGCAAAAAGGTTATATAGCCTAGAGATATGTGCAAGAATTATCATATATAATTTTTTTCAGTATTTGATTGGCCTTCGGTTGCTTACCATTGTACTTTCTGCTTCTCAAATCACGAAACCGAATACCCCCCCTAGTCATAGAATTGCATCCACTGCTTTGTATATCTGCTAGAATAAACCTGATTTTCTCGCAGTTATGTAGTGGATGCAGCTGATCCCGGTAACCTGAGCATCTCAAGAAGTGAGCTTCATGATTTGTTGAGCAAACCCTCGCTTAGTGGCATCCCTCTTCTGGTGCTAGGCAACAAAATTGACAAGCCAGGAGCTCTGTCAAAACCGGCTTTAACTGAAGAAATGTAAGAGAGATTCATTCAATTTTCTTGATTAACTAGACATAGCAGAATTGCAAGTATTTCTGCTTTGCTTAAAAAGTAAAATACTTTCTCCTAACATGTGACATTTCTAATGCAGGGGGCTCAAGTCAATTACTGATAGAGAAGTCTGCTGCTTCATGATATCTTGCAAGGATTCAACCAACATTGACTCGGTTATTGATTGGCGTGTAAAGCATTCAAAATCTAAGAACTGAAAAGAGGGTTTTCTTTGATTTATCTTGTGATGAATCTGTGTTTTTATAATTTGCATTTCCGAAAGGGATAAAATTCGTGTTTGAGAATTTCGGCTTTTGGTTTTTCCCTAACTTGATCTTCCGACGGTTGAATCACTGTCTTCTCAACGTGTACTGTACATTGGATCATCACACGTGTTATTCAAGTAAGATTATCTTTCTCATAATTCATAGCAATTGAACGAGTTGAGTAAAAGTTTAACAAATTGATTCCTACTCCATTCTTTGAATAAGTAAGAGGCAGTGTGAGAAGTTCATTGAGGTGGCCAATTACCCAACAATAACACATCATTGCTAGAACACAAACGTGCAAAACTGTAGTTCAATTTATTCAGATGGACTTCCAATAAAATAACAGATAATATCTCAAGAGTGCCATCACAATGCCATCTCTATTTCTTTTGCTATATATATATATACCCTCTACTTCAAGATAAAACTATAGAATCACATAAACCTCTAAGCTTCTCAGCAAATGTTCGTCCAAAAAGAAGCACAGCTTCATGGGTTGATCTCATATTTTCTTCTTTACAAGCCTAATATATTTACAGTAATAGACATGATTCATAGTTGATATACCAGGCCAGCAAGATGTCAAGTCTGATGCAAGGTTCCAGCAACAAGCTAAGACGAAATGGTGTCCTTCTACACCATCTGCACAAGTTTGCGACTGATATAGATAAGATAAACAGAAAGAAAAAGAAAAAGAAAAAGAAAATCCACTAAAGAGGGGGCAAAATCCTAAACAATTACATGTCACAATAGAGCTATATTATTTGAGACCAAAGACAAAACTCACCCACAAAATGCAATGCATTGTAGTTGTGAATAGCTATCTTTCCTAAATTGTTGTTTCAGAAACTTTTCAACCATGGAGGAGAAGAAAAGATTAAAGTAATCTCATAAATAAGTAAATAAAATTTGTTCAGCTGATGTCAAGTTGCTGTGGTAAAGCTTTGTTGAATGACAGAGCTGCAGTTTCAGGGCGTAAATATCGCGAGTATTACTAGCTGTACTCTTGGTTGAGATCCAACCCTTTTAAACAACCTACACGAGCATCCTCTGAGAAACCCTGTGTTTCCGGATCTATGTACATTGTTCAATGGAAGAATATATAAGAACAAGGATTTACCATGTAACTAGCATCCTAGACTTCAATGCTTTAGCTGCCGCTTTAGCAAAGATTTTTGCTGCTTCAGCTTCAGCTTCTGCGGCCTCTGCCTCTCTTGCTGCCTTTTCAGCCTCGGCAATAGCAACTTCTGCCTCTGCAACTGCTCGTGCGGCAGCCGCAGCAGCCTCTTCTGCAGTCATGCTCTTCATTTTTGATAACTCTGCATCAACTTGAGTTTTAGTAAGAATGTTGTTGATGCCTTTCTTCTCTGCTTTTGTAGAATCCTTCTGCCTTCCTTCCAAAGCAAGCAGAGGAGTTCTTCTTGCTTCAGAAATAGTCGAATGTGGTGCAATCCTATACTTATGCTTTACCTATCAATATATGCACAACATAATTACGAATCACTCCCAACTTATGAACATTCAACTTAAACCTTCTTTACAAACATGCTAGTAACTTTCCAAAAGTACATCAGGAAAACCAACATAATATTTCACGCAATTCACACGGAAGAAAAGTATTGATGCCATGATATCCATTATGCAACTAGTATGCAACCTTTCCACCTTTCTTTCTTTAAATCCAATATTGCAAGAGTTCTGTGCGACATAAGTAGACACAATTTCATTTTCGGAAACATTAACGGCTTTAAATTATTACCTAACGGCTTTAAATTATTACCTAATATAAAGACTTTTCTATGACCCAAGAACACTAATGTGGAATTTAACTTTTCTGGCATCAAGCTACATTACAGGCTAAATATTATATATATATATATAAGGAAGATAATACTATTATAAAATAGTGTTACACAAACAATAACAGAGTAATTACTTTTGTCAATGTCCCATTTGCTACCAGCAACTTTAGTTTTGTAGCCAAAAGCTTCTTGAGGTTTGGCTGTGCAGCATATTTCTCCTAAAATGTCAAAAAAAAAGAAGAACAAACTCTAATTAGTTTAGATGTTTTAGGGAAGTCTTTTGCAACAGTTTCTGAGCTGAGCTTCGGTTTAAATGATTGAAAATAGAATGTACAATAAATAAGGAGAAACAGAAACCCTAAGTTCCACACTCACTTGGGAACAAGACATAAAGAAAATTGTTGTCACATAAAGCCATTAAAAATAGAAAAGGCCTTGTTCAAGTATTTAGGATTTATACCGATCCAAGAAAGAAAAGTACCTCTATGTATAAAGCAATTGAAGCTCTGTCAGAACCACCAGGCTCTCTCAAACTAGTGATAGCCTCTAATAAAATGTTTTCCAACCTACAAGCATTGAGATGACGTCAGGATTTGTTATGCATGTACTAATCAGAATAGTAAGGCTCTCAACACAAGATTGTTTTGACCAACAATGACCAAAGGTCGTATAATTTTAGTTTTCATCAGCTAAAAATAACTTATCTAAATCCCTAATCTAAGGAATTAACCAAATATTTGCATTTACAGCCAGTTTGAAATGAATCAACCTTGGAAATGTCTTGCCTTCTGCTTCATTTCATGTTCTAATATCTGGCAGACAGGAACTCATATACTAACGTTTAACTAGTGTAAGTTTGGTATGATATAAGAGAATACATAAAAATAACCTTGAAATTAATTTTTTGGAGCCAGTTGCCCTCGGCGTTCCACTATAAATGGCAAGAGGCTTAGGATATACAATTTCTTCACTCGGAGGTACAGTGATAAGCGCCATGTGGTTATCATCATGTTTAGCAGCCATCTGATTTCTTTTAAGAGCAAGCTTGGCCTTCTGCCTTGACCCCCATATGGCCGTGGCATTTATATTTCTCCATTTGTCCTGGTCATATTAACACTTTACACATTATTTCACCTCTATTCATTACAGAACAATGTCAAATAAAATATGCAAACAGCTCATGTTCAAAAGTTTTGGATGCAATTAATAAAGACACTGTCCAAACACAACAAATTTAGGTCATTAAACCAGAAACATCAAAACTCTTATTGTGATGATGTTGATGAATCCTACTCGAATCTCAGCTACATACCTTGAGATCCACGTTTGAGCGTGAACGCAGGACCGAACTAAACTCAGGATCTGAAAGTATATTGCGCCATTTTCCAGTTCCATGTTTGAGAACTCCTGCCTTGAGGGCAGCTTCTTCTTCTGCTGTCCATTTCTGCTTAGGGGCACCCATCAACAAATTCCTGAAACCCCCAATATATGAAAATATATAAACATTTCAAACTGAAAAAATCAATCACCAATACAAATCAATTGTATATACTTTCGTGCCTATTCATAAAGTTTAGACAACCAACAAAAAACATTGCATCGAACAAAAGATAGGTGCTAAAAAATGCATGTAACCATTTGAGGCCGCAATCTCATTAACACAACACCTAGACATTCCAAGAAAGATACTTTTGCTGACATTTTGCAATAAATTGATCTCAGACTCCAATTCTCAACCATTCTGAAATTCATATGTAGCAAATTTCAGAATTTTACCAAAAAGAGAGGTAAAATACAGAAACTCAGAAGCAAAAACAGAAAATATCCTTAATACAATCAAGTTTGAAAAATCTAGACAAAAATTTACAAAATTAACCCGTTCTTAAGCATAAAACAAAAGTTCCAAGTTTCCATTTCTCTTAACTCAAATTATACACGAATTTAGACTCAACCCATCACAGCATGTAATCGCAGCTAATAAATGAAAGCACAATTATAAATCTTTAACTTCCCGGAAAACTCCAATAAAAAGCATATCCTGAAATATACAATTTGTGAATGTTTAAAATTCCCACAGATTGCATTCCTTTTGTATCATCTCTACGAAAACAACGTCAACAGAAACGAAGCAGAAAGAAATCAGATTGAGCATTTTCATCACGAGCTTATAATTTGATGAAATTCATCAAGGATCGATTTATCTTAGAGAATTCCGAAAAAAGATTAAAAAACAAACAAACCTTTTACATTAAGCACTGAATTCTACAAATTTAAAGCGAATAATTTAGGAGGAAATTGAAGATGAAAAATGGAGTACCTGATCGGAGAAACGCAGGAAGGGAGGAAGAGATCACGCGCAGAGTATCGGGCTTTTGTTACGAAATTATTTCTTACAAAACAAAGCAGTGAATAAGGAAAAAAAACATGTAAGAGAGATTGCTTTAGTTTTATGTCCGTAAGAATATTTAAACGGAAATGTTTTTTTTTTCCACTTCTACTTAATATTATTTATTATTTCTGTTATTTATTTTATTTGCCTATTTGGCTTTCTGAAATCAACTGCAGCTTTATTACTCTAGTTTTGACTTTACCATTCCTGCTTTTATACAGTGTTTACTTTTTCTCATGTTGTTTTTGTTAATTTTATTAAAGTACTATATATTTATATTAAGTTATTAACTTTTAAAAAATAGTCATTTATGGGTAAAACTTTCGAGATAATGTTCTCGAATTTTTTATTTAACGATATAACGTACTCCCAAGATTAATTGCTCAAATAGGGTGAATTGTACAGTATTGGCCGTAGGTTGCCATGCCTTCCGGGCGACCTACGGCGTGGCAGCTTCCCAGCATAGGTCGCCATGCCCTCCGGGCGACCTTGTAAGTCGCCATGCACGCCAGGCGACATGGTAGGTCGCCATGCACGCTGGGCGATCTTGTCCTGCGCCCTGCTCCCCGCTGCATACTTGCCTGCTCCCCACTGCATGCAGGCGACCTCTTCCGACGTGCATGGCGACCTCTTCCGACGTGCATGGCGCATGCAAAGCTTCATCCTCTCACCACAGCTCGTAGCAAAGCTTCATCCTCTCGCCACAGCTCGTATAGAACACTTTTGTCGTGATTTCATTGTTGCATGCATGAGGGAGACAGAGGTGAGGGAGGCAGAGCCACCTTTGTCGTGATTTCAACAGAATCACGGAGGAGTTCGAGCCGCTTGCATGGCGACCTACAAGGTCGCACCGAGTGTATGGCGACCTATGATCTCGTTTGGCTTGCATGGCGACCAATCCATGCACTGTATAATTCACACCATTTGAACAATTATTTCTTGGACAGCATTATCATGTGAATTATTTTTTTTCACAGCAATATCTTGTGAGTTTTGCCGTCATTTATGTATAAAATTTAATATATACAATAATTCATATTATGCGGTATGTTTGGCAGGTCTATTATTTGTTTCTCATGTTTTAGTATATGAATTAATAGAAAAATTGTAATTATAGAGGGGTAAAGATTAAATATAAGTTAAGGGAGGGAAAAATATTTCAAATAAAAATGAAAAAAAAATAATTTTATAAAAATAAAGTACAGAGACTAAGATTTAAAATTTAAAGGGACTTTTGATATATTTAAACCATTGTTAATACATTGTGAAATATTTTCTTAGAAGAGACTTAAATCTATTAGCATTTGTTCTCAATTAATATTCTTTTCAAACAGGACCAGAGTCGCATTGACTATAAATAGTATCAGCAGATACAATTAATTGAATAAACTTCGGGCATGCATAATCAAAATAAAAAGGACAAATGGGTGAGACGCCCATGAAGCAAGAGTGCGTGCGACCAAATTTACAGTGTCATACCTAGGTAACCTCCAAATTCGAATGGCCCGCAAGTAATTGAAGGGCCTCCTCAAGATGAAAACGAGCCATAGAAAACTTCAGTGTTCGACATTGTAGTTGACTAATCAAATTTATCGCGTCACTTTCCATGATAATCTGAGTAACACTTAACGTGAAACCTATTTGAGGATCAATGGTGATCGTGTAAGCTTCTGCAATAGCAGTAAGAGAGAAAGTCTGCCCAATGACCACCATGCGATACTCATCACGGGCAATAATCCCCACGACTGGCATCCCTGTTGGTGAGACACCACCATCAACATTAATCTTGATGATTGAGTTTGATGGTTTACACCATCTAGATGACAGTGAGGACGAGAGAAATGGAGTCGGATCAGCATGAACTTGCGCATAAACATGATCTTGTAAAGCGCGAGCTTTCGATATCAAATGTAACCCTGATGTCAACCGCCCCTCATGAACAAACAAATTACGACACATCCACAAGGAGTATATAATCCCCAAGATATCAATAAACTGGCATAAGGACAAAATCTGTACCAAATAAACTAGTCAATCATCACATGAGGTATGAAATGTGTGAATACATAAAGCCGAGTAACCCACCTCAGACAAAATGGTTGCCGAGTCCAGACATTCCCGAACAACATGCAAAGCAGTCTTAAAACAATAATAACACATGATAAAGGATTAAAGCCATTTATGAAAAAAATATATTATTATTCTATCAAATAAATATCCTTAAAACTTATCCAAGTTTGTATTTCACAATTTTTAAAGATTATGTTTTAGATAAATTTACAAGCTCATAGTGTGATAAAGAGAAAATATAAAGAAAATGTTTAGGTAAACTCTTAAATATATGTAAAGTTAAAAAATATATTAATTTGTATTTTTATTATTATTTGATACAATGATATTAATAGAGACGGATGCATGATTTTATCTTGTTGTTGTTGAATTTCTAAACTTTAGAAATAGACGAACTTATAAAATTCTAAAGGGACGAAAACAAATTTTTTATAAAAATTATATATAGGATAATATAAAATATATATTAATTTTAGATTTTCAGGGGACAACTGTCTCCACCTATCCCCTCGGTCCATCTGTAAATACTAATAATATTAAATAATCAAGACTCTAAAATTATAAATTATTATTCAATCCTTGTAAACTTATTAAATTTTAACTTAATGCAATGATTGTTACTAATTTATAAACGAAAAAAATAAAGAAGGGAGAACATAGAAAAGATCATATGAGAAATAAAATTTAATATGGTTCAACATTAGTTACCTCGATTGATTAGAAGAAGAAAAATTTACTATAAATAAATAGATCACGAATGGTACAAAGCTTACAAATACATAATATCACATGTATCCTAAAATATGATATCTATATCAAAATTCGGAATATCTCAAATCACTCTTCCAATATCTCTACAAAACTCATGTCTACGATGTAAACAACAAAAAGTTAAAGAGAATACAAAATGATTACATCTCTCCAATATAATTTTCTCTTATAGTTCAGAACAATATTTTTATAGAAGTAAAGAAACAAAATAAGTATCTGAAATATAAATATATCAATGAGTATATGTAAAAAATGATTGGTCAAAAATAAAAAGACGATATTCAAGTACATTTAATGTTGATTAAAATCCATAATTATGAGCGCGCGCACACACATATATATATATATATATAATGTAAATTGTTATCATAAAATATGACATAAAGCAAGTGATCAATTATATTATAAAGTCATAAGGTATTAGAAGTGTCATAGAAACAAAAGTGTAGATAATGTTAAAGTTTTATTTATAATTTGATGATGGGAAAAGTTACAAGTACAAACAATATATGATTCTTAAATCAGTTATATAGAGGGGTTATGGTCCCTAAGAAATAGATAATCTCGTATTTACTCTTATCCCCGTTCAAAGAGTTTATACTTAATGAAACTCTATCTTCTTGGAAGATCACAACCAAAGAAATACGTAAAGATTTCAACATATCAATTAATCTAGATACGCTTCCACAAATCTAATATTTATTATTTTTATAATTATTATGGTTTGGTTCTAACAGTTAAATCAACTTTAACAATGTGAAGTTTTTGAATTAGTAATTCAAACACCTAAAGCTGTAATGTAAACGAGGTATAAATGAGTAGTCCTAAAAAATAAAATACGATTTGAATTACGATATTTTTTTAAATTACTTTGTGGTGGATACAACTATTTTATTAGTCTGATAGTTATGAAAAATTTTATAATATGTCTAATGATTTTGTAGATCCACATATAGTTAAATTTATCATTGAGTGATTTAAAATGCAAAAAACATTTGAAAATTCCTTAAAACTTTTGTACAAATATGCATACTTAAATATTTTGATTGAATGAATCAATCTAAATATGTTGTATAGCTAACTCAATAAATATTTGTTGAAGGTTAAATATGATATCAAAATATGTTATAATATATATATATATATATATATATATATATATGATAATTTGAATATTATTGGAACTTTAGAAGAGCGTTAAATTAAAACTCATCAGAGAGCTTCAATAACATCTAGATAAAAAAAATCATAAAATCAAGTTTTGTCTCTACTTTATAAATCAAGTAGTTAAATGTGTAATTTCCCCCCCTTCAAATTGATACTAATAAAGGATCTAAAATAGCAAAGATATGAATAAAGTATATATATTGAGTAACTAGATGATTGTAAGTCTATTAAATGTGATACAAATATTTTTATCTTCAAAAGAAAAAGAAAAAAAAAATTACTCTGGAAGCACCATATTTGAATTGATAGAGAAACATTATATCTTACTTGATATAGAAGTACTAACTAAGTGTTACAAGATCATATTACCTTTAATCTTCAAACATTAGTCGGCATCATTAACTTTATACATTGAACTTTTTTGTCACTCCGTCTTTAATTTTGTAAGGAGGTTATGGTTTGGCTTAATTAAATATTTTTTAATCATTAAAATACATATAAAAAAAAATATTTTCTTTTTTTCTTTTACTTCTTTTTCTCTTCTTCTTCTTCTTCTTCTTTTTATTCTTCTTCTTCTTCTATCTCTATTTCTCTCATCAACTTGAATGAACTTAGATTTTGACCAATAACTTTGATCGTTATTATGATCACTGTCGATCTCGATCAAGCAAAAAGAAAAAAAGGAGGGTTTAGCAAAAGAAAAAAATAGCTCTTAAGAACCCCATTATAATCTCATCATACACCCTCTCTGGTAATTTTCGTCCACCATTCGAGGTCCCTCTTTACCATCTATGTTGCCTCGGCCTTAATCACGATCAACTTTCATAATCTTCACCTTAAACACACACACACCCAAATTGTTGGGATTTTTGAAGCTCGATTTGCACAACCGAAAAATACACAAGGGGTGAAATGGAAAAAATTGTTTAGGGAGTAAGGAGAAAGAAAAGATAGAAAATTTTGCACAATAATTTATAGTTGTTTGACTTCTCAACTAAGTCTACCTCCACTACCTTAGCTCCTTACTAAGGATTTTCCAACAAATTCACTAATTTGTTCTTTCTTTT